CTGCCGCTTCCGCTTCCGAATCCGAAGAAACCGCGTCTCGTCCTGTCGCCGCCGTCGAAAGCGGAGTTGGAGCCGGAGGACTCGTCCTTGGAGGCACCACACTTGAAACAGCTGGAGCGGCTGGCGAAGTTGTGGGCACCGCAGCTCCCGACGCTGCAGTACCAGTCTCCGGGCCTGACGTCAGGCCCCGTGTTGAAGCCGAATGAGCTTCCTCCTCCTCCGCCGTAACGGCCGCCGAAACCGCCGGCGAAGTCGGCGCCGCCGCTGCCGGGCCTGGGCTCATTGCAGCGTTGGCAGGTGTCTCTCCTCTGGAAATTGAGGTGGTGACACGACCTGCAGTTCCAATCTCCAGGCCTGTTCATCTTCTTCTTCTTCTGCTCCCCCAAAAAAAACAAATGAACCATTAATTGTACACACAGTCATATATACGCGCACGTACGTATGTGTACGTATGTATACAGGTAATATGTATTCTACAGTCTACTAAATGAAATAATAACTGCAGGGTTTTATAAAAGAAAACGGTTGATATATAATTTCATGGGACGTGAAATTCCTTCACGAAAATGGATATATCCAAAGAAATTGAAGGGGCGTGTGTATATATAGATATAAGCGAGTGTATGTAGAATCAATATTTTACAAGTTGTAGATGTAATTTCACCTGGAAAAGCTCTGGGAAGGAAAAACGAGAGAGGAAATGAAGGGAGACGAAGAGAGGAACGATAAGATTGAAATGGTTTGATGATCGTTGAGCTGGATTTATAGTCTATATATATATATATATATGTGTGTTTATATGTAAGTGGGTAAAGGTAAAACCTCGAGAATCGAGAAGGTTTCAAGTGACCTAAGGGGTTTCGTTTCAATTGTTTTTCACTTTCATCTATATATTCTTCAGCTTTAATGGGTGGCTTTCCTTTAACGATGATGTTCTCCATAAACTATGTTTGGCTAAAGATCAAATTAAAGAAACATATATAAACAAAATATATTTACCAATATATATATATATATATAGATAGATAGTCACGGAATATTTTTATTCTTATAATTGACAATTGGAGAAAAGGAAACCAAGATAGCAAATAGATATTTTTTTTTCAAAACAAAGAACGATAACTAATAAAGCTTCAAAAACCAGCTATTTTGTTACGCAGATGCTAGGCTTTTTCATGTATTGTAAGTGTCATATATGTAGCTGCTTGGTTGTGTGTGTGTGTGTATATATATATGTATGTATGTATGTATCTATGTATGTATGTGTGTATGTATGTATGAAATGCGAATTTCATGTGTTGAGAGAGGATAAAGAAAGGTCCTCGTGCCACACTGATTTCCCCTATATACGTGTTTGGCGTCTATATACGTGCATATATATATATATATATATGTGTGTGTGTGTGTGTCCGCGCGCAGTTGGTAACTTGATACATAACTATGTATGTATATGTATATGTATATGCATTTCAACTCGTTTTCTCAACAGTTGACATGTGCGCTGAATTTTGTACGACCATGCATTAGATTTACCTTGATTTGTTCGCAACTGCAGTTGCTTGTGCCGAAAAATTGAGAGAATACAAAAAATGGGGGGAGACAAAAAAAAAATCAATTTGATATTTAATATATGCGCAAAAAAAAAATCGAAATCGTAAATTCCGAAATACAAAAGAACGTCGGGTTCACCCCCAGGTCAGGTGGTAGTGAGCATGGGGAACACCCATGAGGTGGGGAGTTCGATTCCTCGCCGTCTCACTTCCTCTGACCTACTCGCCTACCAGCCTGTCATAACGAGCTAATTTACCTCCTACGCGTGTGTTGCAGGCTCGTACGCGTGGGCTTGGGGTTTGACCCGCAGGCGCCTAAGCCCAACTACGGCCCGAGCGTTAGGCGCGCCTGGTGGCCAGGTTCGGCGGACTGAGATCCATGGGGACTATTAGGTGCGGGTGGTGGTCAGTTCGTCTCCGTTTGTAAGGGTAGGTAGTCACGGGAGTTCCCAATGTATCAAAAAAAAAAATACAAAAGAACGTCGAGGTCCAATATACGACGTCATTCCACTAGTATTTCTGATCAAGAAAATAATGGCTTTTATCCTATGTTGCTGCATTTGCTATCATCTGATACTCCTTTTCTGAACTCTGCAGCTTGCTTTCTGAAATCCTGCAAATTCTGCAAATTTGCATGTACTGATCTCTCGATCGTAAACCCTTCTTTTTTGTTTTTTGTTTTTAATTTTATTTTATTGGACTAATTGGTATTTTTTTTTATTAATACAATACAGTGTTGGAGTGATTTTGTTATGTCTCAAAAAAAAAACTGCAATAATTATTGAAAGTACGCAACGTCCGCTGTCTTAATACGATTGTCTGCATATTCTGATACTTGTAAACCGAAAATCAGATACTATAGGCTATAGGCGCTATGCATTTCAAATTTCAGTCGGTATATTTATCTCATTGACATGCATGTTGTGGACATACATATGTGTACGTAATATACAACCACTTATATTACGAAAATCATTTTTGTAAGATATGAATTCTTCGTGTAAATATTTTCTCGTCCCGTGATAGAAAACGCATAATATAGTACAATAAATCTGAGTCTGAAACTTTGTATAAGACGTTGGATAATTATTTTTTGTAAGACGCATGTGTATGGCGATTTGGGTTCACGTTCATTGAACTTGGGCACGCATATATATATATATATATATATATATATATATAGTTATGTACGTAACGACTTGGTCCAAAGGCTTTAAAAATTAAAACACGAGATAAGGAAGAACAAAACCTCGACAGGTCTACCACTTCTTTGTAGTTATGAGACAGAATGAATATTCCACAAAATCCAACAAAAAAATATAAAGAAAAAGATTCTTATATATAACCCTTTTTTGGACCCACCTCACATTTATACATACGCATAAGGACAAACAACATTGCAATTCAATTGAGGAACATATCATTCCATGACCCATTTGGAATATATATCACTTTCGTGTTCATGAGCCTCTACTTAGTGGTCTACCATATATGGCAAAAACCTTGGTGCTTTTCAAATGATTTTGAATATTCACCAACAACATTAATCATCACACACATATGCATATATACATATATATAGATGAATATTTTGGTGTACTTTGCATCTCTTTTTCCCTCTTTTCCTTTTTTTTTTCCTTCTTTTGTTTATTTTGGTAACCCTAATAATTATTAACCAAAACGTCTTAAGTCGTATATATTATAAAAAGAGCAAGATAACATTTCATTGGAGTTTAGTCCACATGTGAGAGAAAATCGATATTGCATTATCATCATGCACGTATATATAATGTTCCGCATATTATGTTCAGTTAACCACGAGAGATGATTAAAAAAACTTAAGATGAGATCATTAATAAAAAATACATTCAATGCTAGAATTGGACGGACATGCAAGAACCAAGTCCTCCTAACATTTGGAATCTTTAAACAGTCAAAGCTATATATTGATATTGAACGTAAATCGGAACCAGTACAGCACTAATTGTTAGAAATCTTCAAACTAAAACCATTGAATAATAACATAAAACATCAAACTTTAATTTCTGATTTTTGTTTTCATTTCTTGCCAAAGAAAAACGTAAAAGAGAAGTAGGAGTTTCTCCATTAAAACTCACGCTGTATTAATTAACCCTTAATATCCTTTTATACAAAAATAACAACTGAATCCTAAAAGTATGGCACGTGTCTCATCCATTACCACCCATTACTAAATCTCAAACACAATAATAGGTCCAATATTGACCAAATAAAATAAAAATATTAAAATAAAATCAATACAAGATTATTCTCACAATAATTTTCCATATATATTATATGTCTCTATATATATATATATATGTATGACTTAAACTTGAATGACTCAATTGATAAGAGAAGAAACAAAACTCATCTCCAATTCAAGTTCGAATTTTTATTTGGAAAGGGGTATTCACCAGGAATTTCTCTCTATCTTTTGAGAGATATAGTCGGATCAAAGTTTCGGTGACCGTCCGAATTATAAAAAAAAAAATATATGTATGTATGTATATATATGTATATGTATATGTATGTGTGTAGGGTTTGGTGGGTCGGGGTGTGTAGTAATATGGTCTCGTGCGTGTCAGTTGTAAAAAGATAGAGCAAGAAAAAAAAGAAGAGAGAGGAACGTACTGAGACTACATAAAGCAAAAGTTGCATGGCAACAGTTTCAAGGAACGTATCGGTTCTCTTAACTAAGCAAATTAAAAGGAATGAAAACGCTAATTTGATTTTTAGTCTTTTAACGTTTACAGTTATTACATGTAAACCTAGGAGAGAATTTTCATGATTCTCAGACCAGATTTAATTAAAAGAAACATGTTTTTTTTTTTAAAAAAAAAAGATAAATCAAAAATAGAAAACCAAAGAAGATGCTTAGCTAGCGTTTCGATAAAGATAGTCGAAGCTGATGATGATGATGGAAGACAAAGTATTCGAGGTTCACATTTTGACCATCTTTTTCTCTTTATTTATTTTTATTTTTAATTTTGATTTTATTATTTATTTTTCTCTCTTCTGCTTCTTATGCTGCACTGCAATGGCTTTTTCACCATCCTTTCCCTCTTTCAACTTCTCAAGTCTTGTTTTTTTTTTCCTCCCGGATTCATAATCGACACGCACACACATACATGTTATATTATTAATTAATTAGAGGAATTTGATTGAATCAAGCCGGTTACGATTGGTTTGATTCAGATTGTAATAATTCGGTCTAGTTAACCATTATATGTCTATGTATATATATATATGCGCGCGGGCTCCATCCATATAAATTGTGTAAAAAAACACGTTCCTAATTATATTATGTGATTCTAAGTAGTTGGTTGAATGATATATGAGAATCAAATTTTAGTACGCTTGGCACCACCAAATCCTGATATTCGTTACAAATAATTCGTACTATTTTTAGTATTTTTGCGTACAACTAACCATCGTATCGTAAGAATTTTCTTTTCAAACGTAAATTCTAGCATTCGGAGTTATAATCATCGTAAATTTGTTTGCGTTCGACAAAAAATATCCAAGTTAAAATAAAAATAAATAATAAATTGTTTAGATCCAAACGCATGATTCACATACGTGCATAACATATATAATTAGTCGTTCATATATCAAATAGCATTTTTCCCTATAAATCGTGACTTCGACGTTATAGAAACATATATCTTCAACGTAGTTTTATCGTTAGAATTACAATATATATATATATATATATATATATATATATATATATATATACACA